GGCTTCAAGTGAGAGAGTAAATCTGGTTACTCCATCTTGGTCAGGAGTGGAAGTCATAAACACGGCTCTCACTCTTGTGGCACTTCCTTTTCTTCACCCAGCACCCTAACATAATAATGTAGCCAACACCCGTTTTTCAGGCACTGTTGCACACACTGTCTAGATGTTGACTTAGCTAATATTCCGTATCAATGCTGTGTGGGAAAGGCCTCTTCATCCTCTGCAGATGAGGAAACGGGCACAGACGGGTTAAGGCTTTCCGCAATAGAATCAGGATTTGGACCCTCACAGGGCAACTCCAGCCCTTTCTCTGAGCTACTGCTCTGTGTTGTTCTGAAAGGCTGTTTGTGGGACCAGATTCAGAAGCTATGAGTCTATCAGTACAAATTTAGTCTCACTACTGATAAAATGGATTTCTTTCCCTAAACGGCTAGTATGTGTGGGCCCTTTTTTTTTTCATAATATTGTTAGTGATAGTCATCAAATATAAATATATATGTAATATAAATATATATAATATAAATATAAATTTATATATGTAATATAAATATATGTAATACAAATATATGTAATATAAATATAATAAAATTTTAAATGCCCATAATTAATACAAATAATCAACTCTAACATTTTTTATTTGAATAAAAACACCAAAATAATGCATTAAATTACCGCTTAGCATCACACTTAACTCTGAAGAGAAGGCTTCATGAAAAATGTCTTTGTATGTAATTCAACTAATTAAATAATTGGGGTACTTGAAACAGAGGTCACTTATTATGAATTAGAATGGGAAACAATAGTTTCATCTATTGTAAGAGTACAGAACCTGTATTCCAAAATAGAAAATGCGATACTTAATTGAAAATAGGAAGTGTTTTTCTAATTTTATATGATTTTAATTGATAATTATTAGTTTTATTAACTGAAGTTATAATTTGATGACTATCACTAACATGTGGCATGAAGGTGAGGGGAACCTCTACTTAGTGGAGATTACACTCAAGGGGGCCTGCCTGGGGCTGTCCCCCATCTGCACTTGGAGAGCTAGCTAGCTAGCTAGCTAGCTAGCTACAAATTCACTGGGCTAAGTATTCTCTGTCTCACAATATGATGTTTTGGTTTAATTTTAAAAAATCTATTGCCTTTAAAAATTGTGTATGAGTGACACATGTTTAAAAATGTTATTTTATATTTAGTGACTTGTCAGTTTGTTTTCAGATATTCAGATTGATTTATGAACGTTTATTAGTAAACAACATTTTATAGAATTGATTCTCTTTGACAAGGCCTAAAATTGAGTTTCCAATCTAAATATTCCTGTTGTAAGTCATCTTTGTGATAATGTGTACTCTTATTTATCATGTGGGCTCCACACCAGGGCTTCTTGATCAACAGTATAGCCCATTGTTTGAACCATGTGGGCTACTTTCAGGTGCCTATCTGTAAATTGCATGTGACAGGAGCCATATGATTGCTAAGGTCTTACATTCTTTCTTTCCAGACACTTCCCCAGAGAAGAGTCCCCTTGCTCCTACTTCCTCCATCCTGACTGTGAGCTTCCTTGTCTCTAGTTTCCTTAGCAACCCACAGTAAGACTAGGATATTCCTGGAGAAATGCATTCTTTTCATGACAGCAGAAGTGAGAAGGTGAGGGAAGCACTGTCGGCTCTGGGAGGGCCAGGCCATGTCTGTCCCCTTGGATTTCATCCCAGCATCCCTGCACCTGGTGGGCGCTACACCCATGTTAAATGAAAATGGAGGGCGCCTGGGTGGTTCAGTCAGTTAAATGTCTACCTTCAGCTCATGTCATGATCCCAGGGTCCTGGGATCAAGCTCCATGTTGGGCTCCCTGCTCAGTGGGGACTCTGCTTCCTCTCCCTCTGCCCCTCTTCTGCTCATGCTTTCTCTCTCTCTCTATCTCTCTCTCAAATAAATAAATAAAATCTTAAAAAAAATAAATGAAAATGGAGCTGTACTTGGGGAATGAATGGAAATTAAGTCAGGGCAGTGTGAGGGGAGGGGAGGGAGGAAAAGTGGGGGAAAATGGTCTTTTCATAACAAAACTGTATTTGCCAAAGCAAAATCCCTGCCAAAGCAGAATCTGAAGCTATGGAAGACTGTCCATATAAAACCAATCTTTTATATTACTACACAGGAGCCAAAATATTTACCTATTTTTTGACCTCATAAATATATATTCAGGAATAGCCACAAATGAAGTGTATTGAATTATGCAACAGGCAGATCAACAAAAATAATTAAATTTGTGATTTCCCATCTAAAATAGGGTTTTTAATTTTTAAATTGAAGAAGGATCGCAACGTCTGGCTGTGAGCTGGTTCTTATCATGGCCACCTGGAAGCAGTCAGGAATCCAGCACAAAAACCATCACTGGTTGATGCCGCAGAGTGTGGGATGACAGGCGTCTGTAAAGGGCCAGACAGCATACATTTTTGGCTTTGTGGGCACCTGTGATCTCTGCCACGACTTTTTTTTTTTTTAAAGAACCTTTAAAAATTAGCTTGTGGAGCCGAACAGGCTGCAGAGTGATATGGGTCATTTCAGATGAAGAGAAGGAGCAACCTCACATTCCAGATTTCTAAAAGCAATTCCTGAATTTTATCTGTGCTGTGTTTACCCTCTACACTGAGCTTACATTTGTTATCATTTAAGATTTTAGTGAAACTACCAGGAATACTACAAGATATATTGTTTGAAGTGGTTTTGTTTTATTCAGTTGACGACATATCTAGGTTATAATTCAGACCCCTTAAAGGCTTAGCAAACCTGTCAAAATACATGTTAAATGCACCTCATAAGATATGATGTGATGATTAACATGTGGTTGATTGTTCTAGGTACAAGTGTTAGTGATCTCACTGGAGAGAAAAGGAAAACATGAGAACAAAAGGGTTTCAAGGCCATTCTTTTGTGTTTCTACGAATCCAATAAATTTTCACTACTCCATTTTGCCTGAGGGAATGTCCAGGAAATATCATTTAGGTTCTTTAGAGCAGTGGTTCTCATATGTAGTCACCAGACCAGCAGCATCAACATCGCTAGGAGACACGTTAGAAATGCAGATTCTCAGGTCCTGCCCCGGGCCACCAGGGTCACAACTCTGGGATGGAGCCCAGGATTCTGTGCTTAGCCAACACGCCAGGACATCGTCATCCCTAGAAGACCAATGTTACTCTTACAAAACAATAGTGGCAACAAGGAAGCTGGGGACAGGCATGATCTGATCAAAATAAGCCTGACAAAATCATTCATGGAACAAACATTTCTTCTTCACTAACTGCAGAAATGAGCCTTAATTATTACTATTGCCTTTCAGTGACATCCAGGCGGATAAACTATACTAGTAAAATGTGAAAACATTTAAATCCTTCATTATAAAATTCTCATTACTTTATAGTCATCTGACACACTAAAGGACATCATTTGAATTTTACAAAGGGTTATGTTTTTATCAGACATGCATTGAACTATGCAGTGATGAATAACTGCTTGTTTCCATGATTTTTAGACACACTACCATGTTTATGTATTTTCCACCATGTATAGAAATCAAAATCAAACTCCTGAATTTTCAAAAGGTGGCCACATGAAATAAATTCCTTAGAGTTGCAAACATAAAGGACTTACTGTAAATATTTTGGTTCATCTGAATGAAATGCAGGTCCCAGTGCACATTAGCCACAGGCTTTTGTGAAGTTAAATAAACAACATCGTATCATTGGCTCAAAAGACATCAACTTCCTGTTTCACTGGGTTTCTCTTACACCTTCATCTATTACACATACACGTTTTTAAAAATTTTCTTTTTAAAAATTTTATTTGAGTGCAGTGTACACACAATGTTACGTTAGTGTCAGGTGTACAACATAGTGATTTGATGACTTTATAGGTTATACGATGCTCCCCGCAAGTGTAGCTGCCGCGGGTCCCCATACAACTCAATTACAATATCGTTGACCATATTTCCTAGCTGTACCTTTCATACCATGACTTATATTCTTCATTCCATAACTGGAAGCCCATACCTGCCACTCCCCTTCACCCATTTTACCCATCCCCCCACCCCGTCCCTTTGATAGCCAACAGTTTGTTCTCTGCATTTATAGGTCTGATTCTGCTTTCTGTTTGTTTATTCATTTCTTTTGTTTTTAGATTCCACATATGAGTAAAATCATATGATTTTGTCTTTTTAAGGCACAATAATGTCTTGTCTTTTTACTTGTGAAATATGACAAATATGAGATATTTTTCTGGGCAATATGAATCCCTTTGTGGATCTCTTGTTCTGTCTTCAATTGCTTTGACCAATGTTCTTTTTACGTTAATGATAAAATATAACTTTTTCAATAAAGAGAATGCAAGTGACCTTGATAGCTGGAAAAATAAGACTATCAGAAAGCTGAGGGACAGTGGCAGCTTTGTAGCCATGATGTGATGCAGCGGGGAGTGACTTCAACTTCTTTACTGATCTTCATTGTTTACAGGATGAGAAGTGGCCAATGCAAAGGCAGAAGCAATTGGGCTTGGTCAACAGAAGTATTTCTAGATGATACATGTTAAGGAAAATGTCAGAAAAGGCAAAGAGGAGGGCGCCTGGGTGGCTCAGTTGGTTAAGCGACTGCCTTCGGCTCAGGTCATGATCCTGGAGTCCCGGGATTGAGTCCTGCATCAGGCTCCCTGCTCGGCAGGGAGTCTGCTTCTCCCTCTGACCCTCTTCCCTCTCATGCTCTCTGTCTCTCATTCTCTGTCTCAAATAAATAAATAAAATCTTTAAAAAAAAAAAAGAAAAGGCAAAGAGGAGTTTAGGGATCTCAACTACTGGTATCAAGGGAGAATTGGCGGCACCATTTTTTCCCTCTGTACTAAACAAACCAGAGATGTATTATGTCTGTGTGTGTTTGTGTCGACTTGCTCATTTCATTGCATGAGTAAAGATGTATTATACTTAGATTACTTTTTAATGTCTCCCACTGTAGGATCTGAGATGGTTAATTTTGATGGAAAAAGCTCCTTGCTATACACATTTAATCAGAAATCCGTGAGTCCAACAAAAGATGTTATTTCTTTGAAATTTAAAACCAGGCAGACTGATGGGATTCTACTCCACAGAGAAGGACAAAATGGCAAACACATCACCCTGGAGTTAGTTAAAGGAAAACTCATCTTATCCCTTAATTCAGGTAAGAAACTGTAAGTGGGTGTTTTCGAAAATATGCTTATGTAGATGAAAGTATCTTTTTATACTTAGTTTTTCACAGTTAAGTAGTTAATTTATCCTGAACAGAACACTTTTGAGAAAAAAAGAAGACCCTATAAATAATTACTCTGAAGCAATAGGTGTAAACCAGAACGGTCTAGGCAAATGGAACCATGGTCGCTCCACAGTTGAGGTATACTATAGACAATATGCATGTATGCTGAATATACGTTACTGTAAGAAGTTTTATAGCTTGATAATTGTGTAAGACATGTAAAGACATATAAAGACATGTAAAAATTTTATAGCTTGATAATTGTATAAGACATGTAAATAACCTGGTTCAGTAAATAACCTGGTAATATTGTGAAGTTCAGTAAATAACCTGGTAATGTAAAGACAAGGGTGGGTCACTGAATTTATGAGGTACATGAGGTTCTAGGAAGAAGATATTTTCGAAAATGCAATAATTAATAATAATAAAAACATGAAACAGAAAAAATCATTCACGAATGAGAGAAGGTCGTATATAAGGCTAAGATAAAAGCAGCTGACCAGTTCTCGGGATAGAAGGATGTAAGGAAAGTAATTGGGAGAAGTGCTGACCTCCCACATGGCAGCCATATTGAGTTGGATGGAGTGGTTCATTTGCTTCTCCTGTCCTTCTAGGCCATGCTAACCTGCCCTCCCCTGACACCTGTGTGACCCTCACCCTGGGCAGCCTGCTGGATGACCAGCACTGGCATTCAGTCCTCATCGAGCTCCTGAATACACATGTCAACTTCACTGTGGACAGGCACACTCAGCATTTCCAGGCTAAGGGCGAGTCCAGCTATTTGGATCTTGATTATGAGGTGTGAACATGACTTTTTAAGTATTACAGATTTTATTATTTAAATGCACCATAACCTTCTAAGAAAATACCGCGACGCAGAGACATTCCGTTTGCTAGTAATTTGGAACGTTTTTTAGAAACGTTTCCCACGGGTGACGTCGGCGTGGTGGGAGATGTACACGTGCACTGTGGAAACGGTGTAGCACTCATAGGTGTTAGTTTTCACATGAGAGGAAGTAGTCACTAGATCTGGGAGATGTGTAGATGAAGAGCTATCGGTAGGACGGGTGCACGTGAAAATGCATTTGTTCGGACAGTTCTTCTGTGTTACATCTGGTGTTGGCTGTGAACCTTTCCCCTGGAGATTTCTTTGTGTTTTAGGGCAATCCTAAACAGAATTAGCAATCCAGGGTACTTTGGAGAAGTAATCAACATATATTCCAACCTGCTTTTTCGAGGAACAAGCGAGCCAAAAGCACGTGATTCAAAATACTGTTTCTTGGGATACTTACAGGCTCAACATATTCACAGCACGTTGCCTACTCATATCTAACCTGCACTGAAGTGCACCTTTTGTTCTGCCAGTTCTGCTCAGCACATCTATCAGAGCAAATGGGAGGATTTCAACATCCATTTAGTATAAGTGGCCTCAGCAGAGGAGACCAGCTGGAGAGCCTGGTCCTGAATGAGATTATCAATGGCTTCATTATTCTAACCTATCAGCAGCATCATGGCAAAGACCAGGACCCTGAAATCTGGGTTCTAGAAAGGTTTATAAAGTAGAATGTCAACACAGTCAGCTGCATTGTCACACAGATCAGGAGTGACCATGGAAATGAATGTACAATATTCCCCATCAACTGAAGTGACATAGCCATTTGAGTAGCAAATTGCAAGAAGGGGTATTTAACCTACTTATCTAAATATAATAAAGAAAGCATTGGTACATCGACATCTAAAACTTCACTTGAAATTAACATGATAATGTTAAAATAATGCCAGATAGATTTGAGGCAATTATCCTGTACCTGCTAAGCATAAATGTTTTAGGCAGATAATCAGAAAATCATTAAACAATATTATTTATGTCATTTTTTCTTTCTAAGATCAGCTTTGGAGGGATTCCTGGACACGGAAAATCAGTGGCATTCCCACATAAAAACTTTCACGGCTGCTTTGAAAATCTCTACTATAATGGAGTGGATGTCATTGAATTGTCCAAGAAACACAAACCACAGATCCTCATCATGGTAAGAAAGTGTATATGCGAGGTCTAGAGAAAAGGGAACTGCAGCTTGTCTGATTGATCCAGTCTTAGAATATGTTTCTTCTGAAGGCAGGGGATGTGCCAATCATATATGCCTTTTAGTTCATATTTGACTTAATTAACTAATTAATTAATTTAATTTTTAAATTTAATTTTTTAAAATTTTAGTTCCAGTTAGTTAACATACAGCATAAAATACTAGTTTCAGGTGTACAGTTTAGGGATTCAACACTTCCATACATCACCTGGTGCTCATCACAAGTGCCCTCCCTTCCTCCCCATCAGGTTTCTCAGTTTTTACACGTGTATGGAAACAGATGCATGCTTTTGTAAATATGTCACAGTGCATTCGAATAAAGACTTTTCAGTGCAGGGTCTCTGTTTGTGATTGATTTCCTCTTGCTTCTTTCTCCTGTTACTGAATTCCAAGTTCAGCTGCCTGTCACTCGCTCGGAGGGCCAATACTCCAGAGATGAATTTTGATTGGAAAAGAATTTGAGCTTAATTTAATTTGAGGCCAGCAACCTGGAGAGAAGGTGGACTCTTGTTCAAAGGCCAACTGCAAGGTTTCTGCCAGGGGTTTTTAGAGGGGTTTAGGAGTTCGGCAATAAAGGGAGAGCGGTGGTCTGCAGCGTCTCTTGATCACGTGCAGACTCCATTATGCTGGCCACAAACCTTATCTCAGTGCTCAGGGGCTCTCTGGTTCCTCTTTTGTGATGTGCAGGAATGCTCCGTTGTTTCAGCAAAGGGAGGCAGAGCCCACAGATGCACAAAGGGAGGTTAGTAAAATCATTCGTGTGACCTAAAACAGAAAAACATTTTACCAGAAAAATTGCTGGCTTTTCAGAAGGTAGATGTGGCTTCAAGCAGGCAGCTGGGAAAGTTCGGGTCCTTCTATCCTCAAGGCCAGGGGTCTGTCTGCTATGGATCTGGGAACTTAGGTCAGCAAGTAAGGAGCGTGTTATCTTGAAGCAGGTTAACCCCTGTCAGAGTGTTGCCACATTTCCATCTCTCCACACGGCTGCAGGCCCTCCACCCAGGCTGGCGTGTTACTAAGCTAGCATCTGTCCTTCCATGTTTTTGGTTCATTATAACTGAATTCTCTACGGATCAGTACCCTCAGCTTCACACGCATAATTGTGAATATCGATGCCTCCGTATCTAGCATCATTTACAGAAATGGGATTGTTTTATGTAAGCTTTTCTCCATCTCGATTTTCTAACTCAGCTAAACCTTGTGTAAATGCTTTTTTTAAAAAAAGATTTATTTATTTTAGAGAGAGAGAGAGAGAGTGAGAGCATGAGGGGTGAGGGGCAGAGGGAGAGGAAGAGAGAGGATCTCAAGCAGACTCCACACTCAGCGCAGAGTCCGTCCCGGGGCTGGATCCAGGACCCTGAGATCATGACCTGAGCCAAAATCAAGAGACAGATGCTCAACTGACTGAGCCACCCAAGCGCCCCTAACCTTGTAGGGATTCTTTCCAGCCATCAGCTGCAGCTCTCTGTTGTAATGGCTGCTCAGGGTTCCATTAGGAAAGTTATTTCCTAATCAAGACGTTTGCTTTATTTCTGCTTCTGTTTTACCACAAATAGGCAATCACGCCTCTGTTTTCAGATACTGGGTCTTTTATTCTGATGGCAAAGGTTTCAGGTGTAGAATTTCCCGGTTGAAAGTTTTATATAGCTTTCGATTTTAATAAATGTTGTTGGGTTGTTTTCCAAGAAAAACCTGTAACATGACATTTGTCACCAGCAATGTACGACAGAGCCCTCCCCTCACGTTTCAAGCAGCCACATGTCGTCAGACAGCTCTCAGGCTCTTGCCAGCTCAGTGGACATGAACTAATACCTGATTGTTGCTATCTGACTCCTGATGAATGAAATAACCTTTTGTCTGTTTAGATTTGCTTTTCTGGTGATTGTTGATTCTTATTCTTTTGCCATTTTTAGTTTTATTAATTTTTTTTCTTGTCAATTTATGAGAGTTTTTTAAAAGATATTATTTATTTATTTAGAGAGAGAGCACGCGTGGGGGAGGGGCAGAGGGAGAGAAATTTCAGGACCCTGAGATCATGATCTGAGCCGAAATCAAGAGTCGGTCACTCAACCAACTGAGCGACCCAGGTGCCCCAATTTATAAGAGAGTTTTATGTTTGATAGGTTACCCTTTTTCATCCATGATCCAAATACTTTTTCAGATTAATCAATTTTATATTAAATATAAGATCATGTTATAATTATATATTATATATTGTATCTTTTATATTAAATGTGATATGCTATGTTGAGTATATAAATGTTTTTATTTATATGTGGTCAATGTGTCTATGTATTTTTTTTTATAGCTTTGTAATATTCGGTCTTGCTTTGAAATGCTTCTGAAAACCTAGACTCTAGATATAGTCTCATGGATTTTCCCATAAAAAGTTTTAAGTTGGTTTTACTTATTTTAAAATTGAAAAAAATTAAGTCTTTGATGTCTAGGATTTATCCTTTATGTGGATCAGTTGAAATTTTATGCCTTATGGGTACCCATTTGTTCCTGCACTATTGAGTAACTAGGCGCAACCTTTGTTCACAGGGTTGAATCATACCTTTCATTACATACTGGCTGGACATATATTCTCAGGTCTTTCTATGGGTTAGTTATTGGGCTCTGCTGCTATGTTTATTCCTACACCAATACCATATTGACTTGATTACAGTGCTTTTATCATATGTATGCTTTGGTGTCTGCTCTTTAAGTCCCATCTTACTGTATTTCTTTGCATGATATATTTTGGAGAGGAAGGGCAATGTTTGGGCCTATGTTCCTCTGGAATTTATGAAAATTTATCCAATCTCAGGAAAAATTCTTGTAGAGATTTTTTTCTTTAAGATTTTATTTATTTACTTGAGAGAGAGAGAGAGAGCACAAGCAGGGAGAGAGGCAGAGGGAGAGGGAGAAGCAGGCTCCCTGCTGAGCTGGGAGCCCGACGTGGGGCTCGATCCCAGGACCCCGGGATCATGACCTGAGCCGAAGGCAGCCGCTTAACCAACTGAGCCACCCGGGTGCCCCACTTGTAGAGATCTTAACTGGAGTTATTTTAAGAACTTAAGTTCCTTCTTTCCAAGCACTATGATTAAAAATAAGTTTGCTCCTGGAGCAATAGACATAATCTAAAGATAAAAGTTGTGTTTTTTTGTAAAATAGAATGAAATAAAAATAACAACAGCCTGCCAGGCAGGTCAGACGTTAGGCTGGGTGAACGCACTGGCTGACACAGCCCGTGTGAGCTTCAGAGAGGCAGCCAGCCAGCCCTTGGGATGGCCAGGCCGGCACATCCTTTCTGTCAGATGGGTCAAAGCTCGTGGCCCACCTAAGTCAGATGTACATGTCACCTGAGTGACAGACCTATAAGCACGTTTACACAACCAAGGACAGTGCAGGAAAGTTCTCGGAGTATGTGGTTCTTGGTGCTGAGTTTCATACTGGATATAAATGTCTAATACCTTGAGGGAAGATATCTGTCTCCTCTGTTGTATCCCTTGCCCAGCACGAGGACTGGGAAAGAGATTCCTTTGCCGATGTCCAGAAATGGAGGAGACACAGCTTCCCTAAAAGACTCAGAAATACGTTTGCCCAGTTAGGGCAGTGCTGTGGTTTGAGGGACCTATCAGATAAATCTGGATTTAAGTTGGATGGGGAGCCTAGTTCTTAAGTCCTAGTTTGCTAGAAGGTTGATAGGAAACTGCAAATCTTGGAAAGCCCATTTTTAATGAAGTAAAGTTGTCCCTCCTGCCCCTTCCTAAATCCTCTTCCGCTGTATCCACAGGGAAATGTGTCCTTCTCGTGCTCACACCCTCAAATTGTGCCCGTGACTTTTCTGAGCTCCAGGAGTTACTTGGCTCTGCCGGGCTCTGCCGGGGAGGACAAGGTGTCGGTCGCTTTCCAGTTTCGAACGTGGAACAGGGCAGGGCTGCTGCTGACCTCTCAGTTTCGACACGGGCCAGGGGCTCTCATCCTCGTTCTTAATGATGGAAAACTCAAGCTGAGTCTCTCCCAACCTGGACATCCGGCGAGGGACGTCACAGCAGGTAATAAGCGTTTGCCATGACTGCACCGTCCTTCCGTCATCTCTGCAATAAATGAGCAACTGAATCAATAAGATATTCGTAATCCTTCTAGAAGGAACTAGATTTCTTTTACTTTTGAACTAGGTATCTCCAGGCTGTTGGTGTGTGAGTCAGTGTGACACAAAGTTGGCTACATCACACATACCTATCAAAAAGTTTAAAAAATAACTTATTTATAAATTGATGGTTAGTAATTGGCAGTCAACTTGAAATACTGGAACACAGTAGCCTAAGCCTGAATCCTCTTGAGAAAATAGGTTTCTTATAACTGTCTTTTGAACCTATACACACTCTGGTCTTCATAATATTTGAAGTTACGATTTTTCCCTTTTTTGTGAGCACTCCTGCTTCCTTTGGGAATCCCTGTTTTGGGTAAGTTTCTTAGAACTATGGGTGAATGTTCTGCTCGTCTTCCAAGAAGGACCCACGTTTCTAAACTGACTTCCAGAGTCATGTTATCGTTGGACTCTGGGAACTGTTTTGCATTTGAGCTGATGAAAATTTAAACCCAGGCAGGTGCCATTCCACGAATATTGAATATGGAAGAACATCTTGCCTGACACAGGGTTACCAGGTCGGGATTGAAAGCCGGGAATGAAACTTAGCTTTCTGTTTCTCTTTATAAATGAAAAAAATCTGACCACCAGCGTACGGAGTTTCCTTGTGGACCTCAACAAATGAGCAGAGCCAAGAGTGTCAAGTCCAATTTAGGAAATCGCTTCAATCTTGGTTTGTGTAGATTTATAAGCCACATGTCGCATTAACTAAAAGAGATAGTTTTACTGTTGCTTCATGTGAGTACACACTGTTCTCCCTTCCAACACACAGGTATGAGTTATTTAACTTTTTTTGAAGGCCGGCACTGAAATATTACACAAATGTTTTATTGCATTGATTTTTAAGCTTTTACAGTGCAATGTGTTAATTTCCGAAAGCAAACCAGAGGTGAATTTTTCTTGCTGCCTTTTTTAGAAGCATTTGAGGGGTGATATTTTTTACATTTGAAATACAGGCATGCCTCAGAGATATTCGGGTTTGGTTCCAGACCAAATATTGCAATAAAGCAAATTAAATGAATTTTTTTGGTTTCCCCGCACATATAAAAGTTATGTCTACAATATACTGTGGTCTATTAAATGTGCAGTAGCTTTATGTCTGGAAAAACAAATATATGTACCTTAATTAAAAAATATTTTATTGCTAAAAAATGCTGTTACCTGAGCTTTTAGTGAGTTGTAATCACTGATCACAGATCACCATCACAAATGTCATAGTAATGAAAAAGTTTGAAAGATTTGTGACACAGAGACACAGAGTGGGCAGATGCTGTTGGAAAAATGTTCCTGAGAGGACACGCTCTGGGCAAGTTGCCGAACCTTCAGTTTGTAAAAGGTGTGATCTCTGCAAAGCACATAAAGAAAAGCACAGTAAAACGAGGTGCAGGTGGAAAATGAGACAGATTGCAGTTGGTTTTTCATTTCAAACCTTGTATGAAGTACAAAAGCCCCTACCAAACCAAGAACCACATTTTAAATTACGTTTAAATTTTAATTTTAAAAGTAAATCGCATTAAATGCATTTTTCCAGCTTTTAGATCCTTCTTCCTAATAGTTAACCTCAATATGTTTCTGAAAGGATCTAGAAAGGTGCAAAGGTGTATAATCTAGTGTGTGTGTTTTTATGGAACTGGGCCTGCAGAGCGTGGTGGGAACAGAAGGCGTGCATTCCCTTTCTGCAGGAAAAGACACAATCCCACCCTTTCCCGAAGGGCCTCGACTGCCCGGGCATTATTCTCTGTCATCAGGATAGATTTGACACAAGCCAGTGGGGGTGGTGAGTGAGAGGACTCGCCTCCCAGGCTCATTTCCAGACCTGCCTCTGCTGCTGGAGCTGATGGGCTCCATGAGCGGCACCTGTGTTCTCTGACAGCCTCAGGTCCTCGTCTTTGAAGTGACCCCAGTGTGACCGATGGTAGAAGCAATGATGCTGCGTCTACGAACCGTCAGCCCAGTACCTGCTAGTCAGCAACCACTCTGTAACTTTTAGTTCTCATGATTCCAAAACTAATGCTGCGACCATCAACCGCCCCGCCCAGACTGAAACCTTTGCAGGGATGGGCAGGAGCGCAAATCAGAAACAGTCTATCCTCCCTTCTCCATCCATCTTTTAACTGTAGTCTCCCATGCCTGGGAGACATGCCATCCTTCCATCAGAAGCGGGGAGGGTAGGACATACATAAAAGAAACACAAAGGGTGAGAATTATAATGGGTAGAAACAGAGAATGAATATAAGTGCAGGCATTTCACTTTTAAATGAGCATGTCGAATTTTATTAAAAACAGTCTTTTATTATAGAGGCAAATGGCATCTATTACCTGTTCAAGGAGATATTCTGGAGTGTTTTCTGCAAGTTCTCCCATGAAATAACTCTATGTCCTAGACAGATGGGTAGGT